GATCTAACGATCAATCAAAAGTTGCACCGAGTGCACAATCTATTGAATGTGATGATATCGATGGGATTGAACGGATGGATACAGACGAAACGGGTGAAAATCTATTCGATTCATTCGGCTCAAATTTGAGCAGAGACTTCCCTGAAGAAAACTGTATGGGGTTCAGCGGAAATGATGTTGATACTGCAACAACGGCTTTGGGATCACTTGAAGGATTTATTGAATAAAATCTTTTTTTTTTCTCAAAAAATGTTTCCGTTCAGTGAAAAAACTCTAATAGTACAAAAGCCATTTTAGGGCCGCTTCAAAAATTCATCGAATAAAATCTTTTTTCTTTCTTATATAAAATGTGTCTGGATTCTTCCTTTTTTAATGATTCAATTTCTTATTGAATTTATGAGTCTTGCTCGCAGTGCAATATGAAATTGACATAATCCAACATAATCAATTCGACCGCATCAAATGTGATTTTAGCAGATTTTAGTAGAGATAAAAAACAATTTTTTTTTGGCAATATTCAGAATGATATTTTTTATTTATATAGTTGTAAGGTTAAGTACGATCTATTTCGCTTCATATTGTTGTCTATCGTTTCACATTATTACTACATTTTATTGGGTTGAAACGGGTTGAAATCTACTTAATTAAACTACATTATAAGTGATTGAAATCCAATGGCTTATGCAACCAATTGCGTGGTGGCAATCGGCGCGCCGGTGGTATGTCATCGAAGGTCACGACGCCCATCCAGTCTTCATCGGCCGGGTCTACCGCTGCATTTGCGTTTGGTTCAGCATTTTTGAAACCAGTATCATCCTTCGAAGCCATACTTTGCTCGGTCTCCTCGACATTAGCGACAACTTCCGCGGCTACGTTCTGCTTGATCTGCTCGGCACCAGCATCAACTTCCGAAGCTACGCTTGCCTTGACCTTTTTGACGCCAAACATCTATTCAATAACCGAAAATGCGCGAAAATAACCGTTTAAGAAAATTTAAATTTTCATGTTAATAAAATCAATTCACCTTGGCTACACAATTTCCCATTTTTTTGCTGTAATTATTTCTTCAAATTCACTTGATGTTATTATTAAACCGTTCTCTTGAAATGAAACTTCATAAATAAGACGCCATTGAAAACTATGCGCAAACAATAGACCGCTGCGCAACAGTGGTTTTTCTGTGAACTTTTTTTTGCGTTTTTTTTTGTACTTTCGTCACTGGAGAGCTTGCGTTACTCATTCTCCAAATTGCTTGACATATTTATACACAAAAAACGGTTATATGTGGTTGAATGGTTAATAAATTAAATTTATTTTATATTTATTTAATAATGATATTCCGGATATTTCTTTATGAAGAATTATATTTTCGTAGTAATAACGCTCTTAGATACTATAATATGTGTCAGTTCAATTGAGTCTTCTTTATCTTCCCGTCACAATTTTCGTTCGTCTTGCTTTTCTTCTTTTCATGCTTTCTAACCATTCTTCATCGGTGATTCGTCGACCGATATTCATGGATTTCATACGCATGTATTCTAGCACGATGTCGAATATAAATTTATCTTTATGCGATAAGTCGTTATCAAGTTTGTCATGATGAGTACTGAACAGAGTTGATTGGTATAAATCTTCAATGTCTAAGCAATTGAAGATTGTTTTGGTAACAACCTTGTGCTCGACGTGCGCTTTTTCCTGAAGAATTTTGCAAACTGCTTCGCAAACCAGAATTATATTCTGTGTACTGCAGCATGGCTGGGCCAACAGCTCACCTGATTGGTTTTTTCTTGCTATAAAGCTATCAGAAATTTTATTGTTCTCAGTGAATACTGCCAAACAATCCTGGCAAGCAGACACCGATTGCGCTTTGATTTTTCGCATAATACTGGCTTCAATGTTTGATGAAACATAAGCAATGATGTGGTTTTCGTAAGGATCCATTTCTGCTGTTATCAATGTTTGATAATCAGTGTCGATTTCAATTTCTTTTGCGCGGATTACTTCAATGTGTAATGGTGTGCTCAGCATTTGCGTGGATGGGACGGTTAATATGTTTGACACATCAAAGTAATTACAATTGGTGTGCTTCGAAGACATATGAGGCATGCAAATCAAAAGTTTCCGGTATGCAGACATGAATTGTTGAGCATTTGGATTGGAACTCGCTCCAAGACTACTTCTAATCAACGAAAAATATGTCTCCAAACTGTCCTGGCTAAATTGGAAAGTGAAGAATTTATCAGGTGATTCAGGGCTCGTCATGTAATCAGTATAAATACCAATGACACTAATCATATTCTGCAAAAAGCCACAGAAGCCCACAAACTTGTTCGACTTCTTAAAAAAATAGCTGCTTATGCTCCTTTTCATCGACGTACCATTTTTGTTTACTATTTCGATTGATATTTCATCAACAAATTTCCTGAACTCTTCAAATAATTTCAGAAATGCGGGTAATGTTGATTCACAAATAGGTTGTTTGAATTGATTGTTCGTTTTTTTCCCTTCGCCATAGTTTAATGCATCAAAGACATTATTACACAATCGAATTAATTGAACTGTAGATTCACACTTCTCAAAATCAGCATATTTATCTTCACATAACTGCTCCAAAGCATCAGCGACACTATTACTCATGGTTTCGGCAGCATATCTAACGGTCATCGGTGAAATATTCCAGTTAATATGATGACGTTGTGTTAGCTGGTTTCCTAATCCGAAATTGTCACCATCTTGTTTCGCTGCCAATAGACTCAATAGATTCCAATTCAACAGCTCATCTTTGTGATACAGTTTACGGGTTGAAAAATCTTTACGAATAATCTTCAACATATGTGGAGGGTCGTATATTATGTATATCTCCCTCTCTGGATGAGTTGGGCTGGGGAAATATGGTTTTTTAGACTTAAAGTCCGAACCAAGAAATTCATAAGATGTGATGTTCGCTGACAAACCATCTCCAGTCAATGATATGACAACGGCTCCTGTATTTTCAACAGATCGTATAACTTCTTTGCTTAAGACAGCTCTATCAATACCTTCCAGACCATTTAACAGGAAATAAGCGACCGCTATTCTAAAATCAGGCCCAACTGCCATATACACCAAAACATCTTTGGCTACTGGAAGTCTTTTTCCTTCATTGCTTGCATTTGTTGTTGTGGCGAATCCCTTGAAAAGATTTTCATTTTCACTCCAGGCTACATGCTGCTTCATCGACATTTCGTCATGAATTATGCACAAGTATAGTTGTTTGTTTCGATCTGTATATTCTTCTACTTTTTTTGTGATTGCATCCAAAGCCATTTGTGTTATTCCAGGCGTTGCGTCGATGCAATGTAGCCATCTCTGTATGGTTCGATGTGCCGGTAAATTGTTATTGAAGAAGTTCCTCAGCGCATTATAAGCAGCTGTAGAATGGAATACCATTCTTAAACAGAATTTCCTCACACTCGGTAGATATGAGTTTCGTACCATCATTGGATGAATCAAACAGCTCAATACTTCATATTGTTCCTATAAAAATTGTTCGGAAAATAATTCTATGGTTTAGTTTGATAATTTGATCCATACTGAGAACGACTTACTTGCGAAAGACCTTCAATTCGTTTCCCTTGTGCAATTTCAAGCTGAGTCTCCAAATATTTGATTTTATCATCCTTCTTTTGAATTAACAATTCCAATTTTTGTATGGTTTCAGTGGCTTTGTACAATTCAACAGTAGCGTTTAAAATTCTTCGATACTCTTCTATAGATATGGACTTCATTTCGGTTTGACTAGAATCATGAATACATTCTAAAGCTGGATCATTTTCATAAGAATCGCTTGTTGATTCATTCGCTATATTTGTATCGTTGTTTGTGTTTGAAGTTGAAGTGTTTGTATCTATATCATTGTTGCTATTCACAGATTTACTGTTGAAAATTTAAAAAAATTAGAAATGAAACGAACTTATATATAATGTTGTGTGGTATATACCTTAACTGTGGTTGAACATTTTTTTTCGGGCGATAACTTCTACCATTTCTCGTTAGATCATTTTTATTGAAATGAAGGTCACATATAAATACTGTTTTTGTCGTTATCGTTTGATGAGACAGAATCACAGTCAACCATGCCTTTCTGTCTTCTCCTGTTGCACTGAGAACATATGAAATTAAAAATTAACGATTCACATATCTATGAAATAAAATTGCTTACTCAAAAAGAGATCTCTCTTTGTTTGATCCCGTAGTTGTGCAACCAATTATACTACAAACTTTCATTTTGACCGATGATAATGAAAAAAACAGTTGAATTTTGAATTTTTTGATAATTATCAGTGGTCCGAATATACTATTCAAATGTGACATATTGACTCGCAGTGTCGCAAACATAACCACTTGTTCGCAGTGCAACAAACACAGCAAGCTCTTGCTCGCAGTGCAAACATCATAATGTCAAACAGACGTTTCGCGCCAAATACCGCCAACAATCAACAACACTAGTCAAGTCTCGCTCGCAACACAAATCTATTGGATCTAACAAAGTTGAAGAAAATTAAAAAAAAAAACAACAAGAAAAAAATTGATTTCGAATTCGAATTTGTTTGGTTTCATTGTGTAATTTCAATGGCATACTTTGCAGTTTATTTAAAATGCAAACAATTCGTTTGTGTCAAGCAAGATTGGGTTCA